CAGCAATGAATGGGGCTTTCTTTCCCCTGATTAGTCAGCACTTGGAGAGAAGGAGGGAATTACTGGACACAGAATCATAGACTTGAATGAGACATCAGAGGTCAGGCAGCTATCTGTCTCCACCTCACCTGTCAAACAGAGGACTAGAAAGGTGCCAAAGGTGGGGACCTGGGCCAGAAGCTGGGAGTCTCCCCCAGCAGGCCCAGCCCAGCCTTCAGCCCACAGGGGCCACACACAGATGCTCCTCCATGGCCACGGCCACATTTCCTGCCTGGACCTCCGGTCACCCCACAGACTAGTACAGGCAGACCTCCTTTCATTGCACTTTGCTTCACTGCGCTTTGCAGATGCTGCATTTTTTACAGCCTGAAGGTTTGTGGCAACCCTGCATTGTCAGACGATGGTTAGCACTTTTTAGCCACAAAGTATTTTTAAATTAAGGTATATGTATTTTTTAGACATATTGCACACTTAATAGACTAAAGGATGGTGTAAACATAACTTTTATATGCACTGGGGAACCAAAAATCTTCATGTGACTCGCTTTATTGTGGTGTCTGCAACCTCCACAGTAGCTCCTAATTTAAATGCAGCAACACAGCATCTTCTAACAAACCCCTAACATGAAGCAGTGGAATTTCTTGCCTGTATCACCCCTCCCAAGCCCCAGGAGCCTTACACAATAATGTGATAATGCATTTCTGAACACAGTGCCATCCAGACTGTTCATGGGGTAAGTGAACTTGAGGGGAAGAAACCTTAGGAAACGCTGTCAGCCTCGGTCAGTTAGGGCAGATGACCCCGGGGAGATGGAGGCTGACCGCACACGGCAGGCCTGACAACTGGAGTCCGCCAGCCACTTCGAACTAGGGGGCCCTTAGGGCCCAGTTCACAGCACCTCAGACCAGACTGTACAAACAGAATAATCAAGAGACATGGATACGAAGTGCAACCCATCCCTGCAAGTCCAGGCCACAGGATCCCAAGAGATCCAGTGCGACCTTTCAATTTGCCTACCGAAAACTGCGTAGCCACGGTACCATATGAAACAGTCAGCCACAGAGCTTTCAGTGACCTAATAAGTGATGGGGCCTGCAAAAGAGCCACTTCCTCCCGTGGGGCCTGCGACATCTCTCAGGAGGCACAGACTTCTCTGCCCTGCACCACATTTAACACCGATGACAAGGGATGCCCCTTGGTCTCAAGAACAGCAGCAGGCCCTTCCAGGGGGCTCGCTCAGGGTGGGGAGAGTGGTGCGGACACCAGGCCGGCCAATACCTCCCCCAAGGGTAAATACCAAGACCGCCCATGCTGGTGGGTCCTCAGGCCACAGTCACTGACCCTCACTGACATGGGACTGGCAAGACCCCAATTTTGGAATCCTTTTCTCTTTCCTCTCCTTCACCCCCTAGTTTTCCATGTAAAAGACTAATCTTTCATCAACTCCAAGAGTAAGAAAGTGTGTTCTGTAACGATCCATCCAATGAGCCCTGGGGGGCCTGCTATTCACATGCCCAGCAGCACCCAAGAGGTAGGAGATGCAGCCCAATTCTCAGGGGGTCTGGCGTCTACTCTGACTTGGAGGAACTTCCTTTAGCCTGTTTTAACAGAACTGGCTGACAATTCCAGATAAACAACAAGAATCACTAGGCCAAAGGAGGCCCTCCATCCTTCTTACCCATGCCTCCTACTTCCTCAACAAAAAAAGTTAAAGCAAGTTCACTGAAGCTAGGACTTGAATCAAGTGCAAACTGTAAATCCATCAACTGAGAAAACTAAGGGAGAGAAACAGGCTCGTGGTAAGTGAGGTGGGCACACTCTGCCTCCAGTTCCTTTTATTGGAACGACTGATCTCTTTGGAATTGAAGGACTCACTGCACACTCACTCACCTGCTCCTCCCCTCAAACCTACCCGAGCCAGAGCAGAGATTCTCCTCTTGGGAGGCCACCTGGGACTGCGCCCAGGGTCACACAGCTGTTCACCCCGTCCAAGTTGGCTGGCAACTCGTCTATTTTTTTTTTTTTTTTCTGTTCAGGGATGATTCTTTCAAGAGACAGCATGATATTATTTAAAAGACTGGTAAAACATACTCCAATGAACACATTTTAAAAAGAAAAAGTGTGCAACTAGAGATTATCATACTAAGTGAAGTAAGTCAGAAAGAGAAAGACAAATACCATATGATTACCCCTTATACATGGAATCTAAGATATGATACAAATGAACCTATCTATGAAACAGAAATGGAATCATGTACATAGAGAACAGGCTGGTGGTTGCCAAGGGGGAGGGTTGGGGAAGGGATGGAGTGGGAGGTTGGGTTAGCAGATGCAAACTATTATATATAGAATGGATAAACAACAAGGTTCTATTGTATAGCACAGGGAACTATATTCAATATCCTATGATAAACCATAATGGAAAAGAATATAAAAAAAGAATGTATATATATATACATATATATATGTATAATTGAATCACTTTGCTGTACAGCAGTAATTAACACAACACTGTAAATCAACTATACTTCAATTAAAAAAAGAAAAAGAAAAAGTGAACAATACATACCTTGGATGTTCAACAATTTTTTTAAAGGCATGAAAAACTACACATGCAAATGTGTTGCCCCATATTTCAATAATACACATATTCTCCAAGCTTCAAATAATCATTACAGGAACTGTGGGGAAATGGAATGGAACGTGGTCTTTGGACACCCAATATGAATAGGTACTGACTCAGACTTGGGATGTGGGGTGGACTTCGAGGCAGGAGGCACATCACATCCCAGGACACAGTCCATCATGTGGTCTCTTCCACAGTCCAGACATGCCAGGCCAAGCTTCCTATAATATCCAGGGGAGGGGGACTTCCCTGGTGGTCCAGTGGGTAAAACTCTGTGCTCCCAATGCAGGGGGCCTGGGTTCGATCCCTGGTCGGGGATCCTGCAGGCATGCCGCAACTAAGAGTCCATATGCCGCAACTAAGAAGACCGCGTGCCATTACTTAAAAAGAGCCTGCATGCCACAACAAAGATCCCACGTGCCGCAACTAAGACCCGACACACCATAAATAAATAAATAAATATTTAAATATTTTAAAAAATATCCAGGGGAGCCCCATGTCATAGACAATTTTAAAATGGAACCACAGAGATAATCTGGGTAAATCACGGGTGTGTCAGCCCCAGTGGCAGCAAAGCTGGAGTCTTCACAGCCGTAGCAAGGCTCAAGGTGGCAGGGGCAGCACCAGGACATCCACTCCTAAACTCACCTCAGTAACTGAGAAACTGAATCTCACAGAGGGATGGGTTGGTGGTCTGTTCACACCCATCCCTAGCATCATGTGAAACTCTGCTGATCTAATAAAACAATTGAATGAAACACTGAGCAGAAAAGAAAATGAATTTCAGCGGTCTCCTTTTAAATTTCCTAAAAGTTAATACTGCATCTTATGCATGCATATTCACTCAGACATCAAATATCCATCACACTTAGAAGGAAAACTATGGAAGAATAAACTAAGCTCAAACAGAAAATAGTTCCTTGTAAGGAGAAACTCAAGATCTTTCAAACCCAGAAAATGAGTTTACTTTAGACTTATCTACTTAAAGCAAGAGATATGTATTTAGAACTTGCATTAGCATGAATGTACATTTGACTTCTCAGAATGTGAGATGGTGGATAGCAGAAATCTAATAGCAAGCACTAGGGGTTTGTGGGATCCTGCAATTTTACTAGATAAGGCCTTGGAGACATAGGAGGTTAACTTTCTCCTTTTCTCACGAGTGGCCTAGAGCATGATGGTGCCATGCCTCATCCAGGGTGGCTGGCTGTGGCCAATGCAGGAGGAAATGCAGGGTCTACTCCCTCTTAATCCCAGTCTTTACCAGAGCCCTCCCTCCCACCACGAGATACTGTGTGTAAACCAGCCAGCTAAACACACCTCGACAACATGGGCAGGTAATACAGCAGCACCAGCCCGTGTCTCATTTTCAGAATTTGAAAGACTTGTTTTCAACCCATATACCCATTCTGTTACTATGAATGGTAAGGAACTCCATCCTCAAAGAGTAGAGAAGGCAGTTCCTTCCTGGCCTGCTCTGTCACATCTGTCACATCTGTGTTAATGTCATCTTTTTCTTGGTCTGACACACAGACTGCTTGGGGGATGCAGCAGTCTGCCAAGGGCAAATGAAACTCTGCTTCCAAGTTTCAAGGGTAAAATATTTTCAAATTAGATATACCATAAGAAGGAACCAGCATGTTTTGTTTCCTTTCAAATGCCTATGGACCTCAGGATTCCCTCTGAGTAGGATATTCTGTGCTCCTCCTCAGGGATGGACAGCTTCCAAAAGGATCATGTACCACGTGTCTTTTAATTGAGCGGCACTTCCCCTGTAGCCATTTAAAGTGCTCCAAGAGAGGAACAAGGCTGGAAAACAATTTCCATTTGCCCCTTTGAAATCAATAGTTTGATTTACATGCATTTTCAACAGAATAAGAAGTATAAAGAAATATCCAGTCATAGCATTTGGACAATTGTCTAGTAGAAGAGTTATTCCCTTCAAGGTGTGATCTCTCCCTTCAGCATCCGGGCTCCACAAGGAACCTGGGGAGGACACCATAACTAGACCCCTTGATGGTCATCAAAGCCCTGGGACACACACACCTCCCCCTCACCTTGGCAAGACAACCCTCCCCGCATGAGCTTGCCTCTCTAGACTCACTAGGAACTTTCTGATGAATAACATGGCACACACTTAAAATCAGATTAAGCACATTTAAGTGAAAAGCACAGTTGCCTCTTTTCTCCTGTTTTCATTTTCTTCAGGTAAAGACACACAGAGGGATTAGACATTTGCTTTTCTCCATCAGAGAAACCCTGAGGCCAATAACCCTCGCAAGGCAGGCAAATAAACCCTCTGGGAGGTGCCACTGACAGAGTCCCAGGGTTTAAGTCAGTAGCTGTCAAACCCCAAAGAAAGCATTATTGGGGGATGGTGGGCATTTCCACTGGCTATCCTGGCCGGCACTATCACGCCCTCACCAGGACCAAGATGTAGGCAGGAGCTCCATGAGGCCAAGTCGCTCCTCCCCAAGCCAACACTCTCCCTTCTGTGGCCTGAGAAGGCATTGAATCTTCCGACTAGGACGAACAATCACTCTCCAAAGACATGGAGCCATTAAAGCAATCTCTGCCCCACGGAGGGAGACCCATTCTGGAAGCCATAACCTCTGGCTATTCAAAGCATGTGCTTCCTTCAGTGTCCATTCCTTGGGCGATGGGCACACGGAGACGCGGGGCACACACGCACAGACCCCCAGTTTGGGGATCCTTCATCCTTTCCCAAGGTGGCTCAGGTAGAGGACCGCCAAGATGCATTTAGCACGCCCCCTGCTGGCCACTCGGGAGCTGACTCAGCCTTTATTCTCTGGGCCTAAAACAGGAATTAAATGACCTTAACACCCAAAGGGAACAAAAAGAAAAGCCAAGGCAATTTCGGCTTCCCAGAATCAGAAAATGTGATGTTCTAACCATAAAAAGGGGATGAAGAGGCTTTAAAGTAAGGGTTTTTGAAATGTTTTAGGAAATCAGTGGTTACTATCTCAAGAATTAGTGAGAACACTTGAATTTGCATTTTCACGAGTACTACAGTGAGTCAAATCAGAAACATTATAATGAATATTTTCACAGGTCTACAAGTGAAAAGGATATGTGGCCAGAGTTCATAGCTCAGAGCCTTAAAAACCAAGTTTCGTAGGATTGACGCTACTTCAATTACAGAAAAAATCTCAGCAATGACTTAAGAGGTCAAGTAGCAACTGTTATGCAGCAGGGGCAAAGTCGCGGAAAAGAAGAAAAGATGCACATTTGGAGACGATTCCGCTACAGGGCTTCCTGTCTCTTGCAGCCTTGCCACTGTGAGTAAATCTGGCACCTTCAGGAGGTGACAGGCCATGCACACATGGCTGCTTCAGAGGGACATGCCCCTCCCCTTCTCCACAAGGGGAGAACAGACAGTTCAGCTTTTTGGTGACTTTTGTGCTGTCCTCCACCAGGGCTAAGGACCTCCACAAAGGACTCAGGCTGAGACCCACACAAGGCAAGACTCCATAATGCAATGGTTTCCATCTACTGCCAGCCTGAATGCCAAGGCCTGAGGTGAAGCCCTGCTTCTCCATTTTCTTCCCACCAATCCAGGGTTTTTGAAAGCTTATCTTCCTGACCAGACTCAAACTTTTTCATGGCCTGTGGTATTAAATTCCTTACAGACCCAATATGACCACACTAATAAGTTAAGGCATGCTTCTTTGAACCACTGAGGAAGAGTCATTAATTATTAAACACACGAATGTCAATATTTTTGTCCCTTACTGAATATCCTTTTGATATGATAGGCTTAAGTAGATATACAGACTGTCTTGAGAACTTGCTTACTTCTGTTCTCATCACAGTCAGTACTAATGGAATACTCACACACACAATAAGGCTGACACGCTGCTCGAACTTAGGAGGAGAAATTTCCCCAGAACTTTGTGTGCCATACAGGTAGGTCCCAGCCTCAGCACTCTCAACCCTCTTCAGATGTTAAGCTGACCTTCAACCTGGTGGGCCGCACAGCTGGTATGGTAAGGAAAGGAAAGGCAGGCAGGGCCCCAGAGAAGCTGTCACCCCTTTCTCCAGGGCAAGCTGCTCCCAGGCCCATCCTAGTTGGGGGGAGGGGGGCTGGGAGAGAAGGTGATGGAGAGGAAGAAGACCCGCAGATTTTCCTGAAGCAATCAAGGCCCTTCAAGATCTAGGCCACACTGTCTACATTTTCCTGAACACATCATCTGCCACCTCGAATATAATGTCTTTTAAAATTTTTCAACTCACGGCTCACTTTCAATCATAAAGATAAAGCCAGTCAATAACCACTTAAGTGTCATGCATGACTTTCCCCTGGATCCTTGTGATGTGGATGAAGTGATTCCCATATCCGTGGGGATCTAACAAGTTTCCCTCCAGGAACTCTCAAATCTATTCATTCTCAAGCCAAGAAATAAAAATAAAAACGTTTTCACCTGTGTAAGGCTGGCGAGTTCACAGAGCAGAGTGAAATCTATTTTGTGGCAGAGTCTCAAAAGGCTGCAAGAGCTGCACGGGAGGAGGGTGCACTTGGGTGGTTGTGTCCAATGAAGGAAAGTTTTTGTTAATGATGACATCACTGACATCTCCCGAATTTAAAGGAGCACTTAGAGCACAGCAGATGCGATCTCCCCCCCTCCAGTAAGAAGATATCAGGGAAGGCCTCCGGGTTCACAGCCAAATTGCATTAACAGTTCGCCCGCTGTCCAGACAGACCCAGTGGAACGAGCGAGCAGCGTACCGGGCCGCGGTGGCCCACGCAGCCGGGGCAACCGGCCGGCGGCCTCACGCGCTGCTGCCGGGCCGTGCCCGGGCGTCCGCTGGCGCCCCGGGACTCCGGCGCGCCCACACGGACCGAGGGGCCGGTGTCCCCGCGCCCGTCATCACGTTCCAGTGCATATGGCTCAGGGGCCCGGAGGAGACACCGTCAGCGACCCAGCGAGAGCGCCGCGCCCTGCCCAGAGACCCGCGCCGGGCCGGAGCCGGTGGCCGCGGCGCCCGCGGGGTCCAGAGCCGAGCCCGCAATGCAGACGCGCCGGCGAGCCCCGCGCCGAGCCCGCGACCCCCGCGCCCTCGCGGCCCGGTACAGGGGCTGCCCGGCCTCTGCGCCCACCTGCTCCGCCGCAAAGCCGCGGAGGCATCCGGCGCCGCGCTGGGACTGACCGCGCACCTACCGGGACCGCGGCCCCGGCCCCACCGCCGCCGGCAGCACCGCGGCCAGCGCCGTCTCACCTGCCGCGCCGTGCCGCTCCGTTCGGCCAGCCCGCAGCGCCTCAGTAGCCTCTACCCGACTTCCATTTTCTCTCGCTTTAAGGAAAATCGGATCAGCTGTTTCTCGCGCTCCGGCTCAGCGGCCCCCTCCCCAGCTGCCGCTTTCGGTCAGGGGGCCTCTCCACCCCCGCCTCCTCCAGCGCTCCGCTCCGCCCCTCGCGCCCCTCCGCTCCGCCCGCGGCCGCGCGCGCCCCCTGACGTCACCGGCCGCAGCCGCGCCCCGCCCCCTCCCCCCGTGGACGTGCGCGCACCCCGCCCCCGCCCTGCCGGGCGGCTCCGAGCGCGCGTGCTCGCGGCAACCACTCGAGCAGACCCGGACTCCGGGGAGAGCGCGGGTCACCACTCGTCCGCGTCCCCTCGCCCGCGCTAGCTCTTCCAGGTGCCCCTGCTTAAATAACTTTCCTTTGCCCGTCTGCCTGCCTCGCACTGTCTGCGCCCACCTTCATCATTTCTTGCTTTCTGCTCACGCTTTCTTCCTCAGCATCCCAAACTTTCTCCCACCCATCCTGTCTCGGCTCCATTCCCGAGACCTGCTTCGGGGCCAGTGCATCACATCTCATCTGAAGCTGCTCCCTTTACCTCTTAAACCGGTTCTCTGACCTTTCCCCATTTCTTGCCTTCCTCTTAAAAGTATTTTCACACCACAACTTCGGACGGCTCCTCTCTCTGATGCCAAGGCCGGCGCACTGCCTTCTGCCCACTGTCACATCACCCTCTCGGTGTAACCACGCCCCCCCTTCCAAATAATGTTATATTACAAGTTACTAATGCCATCCTCATGCATTTCTTGACAATCGTTTCACTCTTAGTTTAGGACTTCTTGCTTGGTTTTTAACATTATGCACACATGTCTGTAAATTACTAAATATATATCATTTTTAGTAATTTATTTGACTTCTTAAATTAATATACAGTAAAATTGACTTTTCATTTTTTTGGATATATAGCCCTGTGAGTTTTCAAACACCAGTTCGGATGCGTGTAACCACTAGCACAATTAGGATACATCATCCCAAGAACTCCCCCTTGTTGCCCTTCTATAGCCACACCCTCCCCAAACCCTAATATGTTCTGACATAGGGCAACCACTGATATATTCTCCATTGCTGTAGTTTTGTCTTTTCGAGAATGTTATACACATAGAATTATGCAATATGCAGCATTTTGAAACTGACTTTATTCATTCACCATTATGCCTTTGAGATTCACCCATGTTTATCAATAGTTCTTTTTATTATTGGATGCTATCCCACTATTTGTACCGCGTTTTGTTTATTCATCCATCGAAGGTTTCTTGTTTGGGCAGTTGTGAATAGGTGTTCTACAAACAGTTGCATGCAGAGCTTTGTATGGACAAGTTTTCACATCAGGTGAGTAAATACCTTGGAGTACCAATGCTATGTCTTTTGGTAAACTTGTTTATCGTTATAGGAACCCTAAAAACAGTTTTCCAGAGTGTTTACACATTTTCATAGCCACCAGCAATGTATGAGAGTCCCACTTTCCTGAATTCTTGCCAGCACTTGGTATTTGCTGTATATTAGGCATTCTCATAGGTGTGGAAAGATTTAATTGTTGCTTTAATTTTCAGTTCCCTAATGGAAAATAATGTGGGGCATCGTTTCACTTGCTTATTTGCTACCTGTTTATGTTCTTTGGTGACATGTTTGTTCACATCTTTTGCCCTTTTTTTTTTTTTTTTTTTTTTTTTTTTTTTTTTGTCCGTAGGCGGGCCTCTCACTGCTGTGGCCTCTCCCGTTGCGGAGCACAGGCTCCGGACGCGCAGGCTCAGCGGCCATGGCTCACGGGCCCAGCCGCTCCGCGGCATGTGGGATCTTCCCGGACCAGGGCACGACCCCGTGTCCCCTGCATCGGCAGGCAGACTCTCAACCACTGCGCCACCAGGGAAATCCTTTTGCCCATTTTTAAACTGATTTTTTTCTTATTGTTGAGTTTTAAGAGTTCTTTGTATATTTTGGATAGAAGTACTTTATATCATATGTTTTGCAAATATTTACTGTGTGAGGCTTGTCTTTTCATTCTCATGTCAGTGTCTTTTGCAGAGCAGAATTTTTTAACTTTAATAAAGTCTAACTTGGCATTTGTCTTTCTTTTAGAGATCATACATTTGGTATTATATCTAAATGCATCACCAAACTGTATGTCACATAGATTTAAGTCTATGTTTTCTTCTTGAAGTTTTATAGTTTTACATTTTACATTTAGGTCCATGATCCATCTTTATTTAATGTTGGTGTACGGTCTGTGTGTGTCAGTTTTTTGCATGTGAATGTTCAGTTGTTCCAGCATCATTTGTTGAAAAAAAAATCATTTTCCTGTTGAATTGCCTTTGCTCCTTTGTCAAAGATCAGTTGACTATGTTTGTGTTGGTCTGTTCTATTGCACTGATCCATGTATCCTTTCTTTGACCAATAATGTCACTCTGTGTTGATTACTATAGCTTTGTAGTAAGTCTTGAAGTTCAGTAGTATCATTCTTCTGACTTTTATTTTAGTATCATGTTTGCTATTCTGGTTCTTCTGCCTTTTCATATAAACTTTAGAATCAATTTGTAGGTAGCTGCAAAATAGCTTGTTTGGATTTTGATTGGGATCCCACTGAACCTGTAGATCAAGTTTGGAAAAATTGACATGTTAACAATATTGAGTCGTCCAGTCCATGAATATGAAATAACTATTTATTTAGATCTTCTTTGAATTTTTCAGCAATGTTTTATAGTTTTCTATATAAAAGTCCCATACATATTTTGTTAGAGTTACTTTTAAGTATTTTATTTTACGGAGCTATTGTAAATGATATTGTTTTTTAATTTCTAATTTCAGTAGTTCATTGCTGGAATATAGGAAAGCAGTTGGCTTTTGTATATTAACCTTATATCTTGCAACCTTGCTGTACTTGCTTCAGGAATATTTTTGAGCATTCTTTGGAATTTTCTACTAGAATATTGTCACTTACTAATAGAGACAGTTTTATTTCTTCCCTTCCTATCTGTATACGTTTTCTTATCTTACTGAACTAGCTAGGACTTCCAGTATTATGTGGACTAGGAGTGATAAAAGAGGACACACTTACCTTGTTCCTGATTTTAGGAGGAAGCATCCAGTTTCTCACCATTAAGTATGATGTTAGCTGTAGGATTTGCTGCATATTCTTTTTTAAAAAATTAATTAATTGATTGATTGATTGATTTTTGGCTGCATTGGGTCTTCGTTGCTGCCCCCAGGCTTTCTCTAGTTGCGGCAAGCAGAGGCTACTCATCATTGTGGTGCGTGGGCTTCTCATTGCAGTGACTTCTCTTGTTGCAGAACACAGGCTCTAGGAGCTCGGGCTTCAGTAGTTGTGGCGTGTGGGCTCTCGCATGGGCTCTAGGTGCGTGGACTTCAGTAGTTGTGGCACATGGGCTCAGTAGTTGTGGCTCACGGGCTCTAGAGCACAGGCTCAGTAGTTGTGGCACATGGGCTTAGTTGCTCTGTGGCCTGTGGGATCTTCCCGGACCAGGCCTCGAACCTATGTCCCATGCATTGGCAGGCGGATTCTTAACCACTGTGCCACCAGGGAAGCCCCACATTCTTTATTAAATTGAGAAAGTCTCTCTCTATTCCTAGTTTACCAACGGTTTTTTAAAATGAATGGGTGTGAATTTTGTCAGATGCTTTTTCTTCATCTAATGGTAGGGTTGTGTGATTTTTTTCTTCAGCCTGTTGATGTGATGGATTACTTGTCTGACTTTAGAATGTTGAGCATTCTTGCATACCTGGGATAAATCCCACTTGGTCGTGGTTTATATTTGCTTTTATACATGGTTGGATTCTGTCTTCTTGTTTTGATATTGGGGTAATACTGGCTTCATAGAACGAGTTTATTTTTATTGATATAGGCCTATTTACCTATTTGTTACCTATTTGATACCTGTATGTTCTTGCATACATTTTGATAGTTGTGTCTTTCAAAGAATTGATCCGTTTCTTCTAAATATTCAAATTTGTAAGTATAGGGTTGTTTATTGTAATTATTTTTTTTCATGTTCATGAAGTTGAGAGGAATTAACCTTCTTTCATTTCTGATATTGATAAACTGTGTCCAATATCTTTCTTTCTTAGTTAGCTTGGGACAGTTTTATAAATTTTAGTGATCTTTTCAAAGAATCAGCTTTAGGTTTTGTTAATTCTCTCTATTGTTTTTCTGGTTTTAATTTCATTTATTTCTTCTCTCATTTTTTTTTTTTGCGGTATGCGGGCCTCTCACTGTTGCGGCCTCTCCCCCTGCGGAGCACAGGCTCCGGACGCGCAGGCCCAGCGGCCATGGCTCACGGGCCCAGCCGCTCCGTGGCATGTGGGATCTTCCCGGACCGGGGCACGAACCCGCGTCCCCTGCGTCGGCAGGCGGACTCCCAACCACTGCGCCACCAGGGAAGCCCTCTTCTCCCATTTTTATTCTTTTTTTTTTCCTGCTTGCTTTAGGCTTAAATTGTTCTTCTCTCTCTAGTATACTAAGGTATACTAGAGCTTGTTGATTTTTTTTTTCTTCTTTTCCATTTAATGCCATAAATTTTGCTCTAAGCACTGCTTTTCACTGCATACTACAAATTTTGATAAGCTGTGTTTCCATTTTTGTTTCATTCAATATATTTTAATTACACTTGAGAGTTCCTCTTTGACCCAGATATTTTTAGAAATATATCATTTAGTTTCCAAATAATTGGAGATTTTCAGCTACCTTTCTGTTTTTGATTTCTAGGTTAATTCATTTGTGGTCTAAGAACATACTGTGTATGATTTCTACTTTTCTGTAATTTGTTAATGTATGTTTTATGGCCCAGAATGTGGTCTTTGTTGATGAATATTCCATGCGAGCTTGGGGAGAATGCATATTATGCTGTCTTGGATAGAGTATTTGTAAATGTCAGTTAGATAAAGGTGATTGGTTGTGCTGTTCAGGCCAACTGCATCCTTATTGATTTGCTGCCTATTTGAGCTATCAATTTTGGAAAGAGGACCTGTTTTTTCTTTGTTTTTTTAATAAATTTATTTATTTTATTTATTTATTTTTGGCTGTGTGGGGTCCCCGTTGCTGCACACGGGCCCTCTCCAGCCACAGCGAGCAGGGGCTACCCCCCGCTGCGGTGCATGGGCCTCTTATTGCAGTGGCCCCTCCTGCCGCAGAGCATGGGGCTCCAGGCGCATGGACTTCAGCAGTTGTGGCCCGCGGGCTCCAGAGAGCAGGCCCAGCAGCTGCGGCACACGGGCTCAGCCACTCCGCAGCACATGGGATCCTCCCAGACCAGGGCCCGAACCCGTGTCCCCTGAATTGGCAGGCGGACTCCCAACCACTGAGCCACCAGGGAAGCCC